CCCCAAAACCCCAAAACCCCAAAACCCCAAAACCCCTTTGAATTGAAATTTTAATCTCAAAGTTAAGCAAGAAATCATTATTATATTATCAAATTAAGAGTTAATATAGAAAATATATAAATATTCGATGCATCAAGGTAGAATTCTTTTGCTTTTCCTTTCTTTCTAGCTATACTTTAAAAGTTCTTCCTCGTCAATCATCAAACTACTGCTAAGCATGTTATTCATATCTAGATGATTATATTCCTAGACATGAGAAAATGCTCTTGATGGCTAGCCAAGGGTATCATCATCTAAATTGCTGATTGTTACTGACTTTTAGATCTATTCTCTAGATTGCTAAACTATTGCTTATTTTAGAGGCTATGAAAACATTAGAGACACAATGCAAACAAAAGTTTAGAATAGATTCACCCATAGGAAACTATAGTTTTTGTCTAAAAATTCGCTTTAATCCTAGTAAAGTTAAATTAATAGGTAACTTACATTGTTCCTTAAATAAATCAATAGCCCAATAGCAAATATATTACTTAGAACATCTATCATCACTCCTAGTTAATACTAAATCAAGTTAATAAATGCTTAAAATTACTGTTCCTAAATACTCTTTATTCTTGTATTTAGATCCGTAATAACCTAAGATTCCAGAGAAAAAAGAAAAAAAACCATTGAAGTTATTTGTATTGCACAGCCATTGTTCAACCTAGCTAGTCACATGAAGATTTAGCTCAACGCTTATAAATGCCTGAACCAGACTACTTAGCTATAAATCATTTTATTTGTAGGATCTTACGAACTAAAGAGTGACGAGGATCTGAAATACTATGTTCATCTTATCTATTCGGGTCAATTTACTGTATTACTTGTAAATTTATTTTTTCGTTCTTCCAAAGGTTATTCTTCTAGCCTTCTTTTCTACTTCATAACTGTGTTTTTTCTCTATTTTTTCTATCAACTTATGAAAAACATAATCAATCTACTAGCTTTATGTCTCTTCTCCCGCAAACATTCTTACTTCAAAGGCATGAGAGTTTAGATTTTTCTCTGCAAATTTTAAAGCTTAAATAACATGCTCATCATACACGCCGAAAATTCTGCTTGCTCTCTGCATAAATGGAGGCTCTACATAATTCAAAATCATTGTAAAACTCATTGGAAAAAATAGTTGCTTTATACATAAATGCTATTCAAGTTCTCCTAAGTACTCGATTGTTTCTTTTAGAGATATTCCATCTTAGTCATCACTCTAAGCAACCATCAAGATTCCATCAAGGTCATTTGTTCGAACTGAATTTTCAAGTAACTTTTAGAAATCCTCTAATTCTCAAACTTTAGGCTCGAGAATCTGTAGATCAATCATCTCAAAGTCAACCTATAGCTTCATATGGTAAGCGAAATAACTCTAAAGTTCCTCACACTCATCTGAGTGAACATACTGCTCTATAATCTATCTGATTTAAACTGAAGGTGCTCCAATTACAAGTAGAGTAATTTCTTTCTTTTTATTATGAATCTATGGATTATCAGGATCTTAACTAATGAAGAGTGTTTCTTTTTAATTTTAAAGCATAGAAGTGAAATCCATTGATTATTCTGACTTCAAAATTTGATTGTTTTCCATTGATATCTAGGCTGTATTTAGTTATAATATGACTATTATTGATTTATTTTTATATTTTTTTCATCAAAATAGCGCAATTGGGGTTTTGGGGTTTTGGGGTTTTGGGG